GACAGCGCCCTTATTACGCATCAACCGGCCGAGGATGGCTAGCAAACAGAGGCATCGGTCAGGTCAATACGTCTTGCTTTCGACACCAAGCCAGAGATGTGGGCACAAGAACGTACAGATGAGGACCAAGAGTGTCCGGTGATCGGGCGTGTTGAGCAAGTTGAAGAGCACATGCAGGTTTTCTGTCTCGCACATGTCGATATCAATCGAGGGATTGTTCAGCGCGCTGAGGGATTGAGAGTGTGCAAAGTGGCGTCACATGCAGACCAGTGAGCAGGGGGGTGGCGCTATCGGCAATGATTGCATTGAGCATGGGTAAGGGCACGTACGAGAGCAACTCGTGGCGCAAGCTGGGATCATCGTCAGACACCACAACACGCAGCAAAGGAAACAAAACCTCCCAGACGCTGGCGCGCGTCAGAACCTTTCGCTGTTGCATAGCACTGTTGCAAGTCCAACGCAAGTGTAGGGTGAGACACCAGGCCGACAGTTGAGGCGCAATGCTTGGGGTTCATAGCAGGTGCAGACTGACGAGGTGATCATCGATGAGCTAGTCGGGCTGGCCGTTTCTTCCGTGAGTTCGCTTTGCGAACGGGGCAAGGTAATGCGTCCGGTTGTGCGGGAGACCATTTCACTGCGGCTTCGGATGCGGCGTCCATCCGAAGGATACTGGCCACAAAGAGCCAGGCATGAGGGGCAAACCACGACGGGGTGGTGCTCAAAAACGTGTTTGGAGGGCGCCGAGTGGCCTGTAGAAGGTGCGGGCGGCCTTTTGCGTAGTCCAAAGAGCAAGGCACGAGCTGCGAACATACTTCAACAAAGGGCGACTGCTGAACGAGCACGTTGGCAATGGCTAGACAAGCCTCTTTGCGCAGATCATTATCCTCATGCTTGGTGTAAAGAAGGGCAAAGTCACGGCAGAAGGAGAGCAAGAGCTGCCGATGGCATTGGCGAGTGCAGTTTCATTGTCGGTGAGAGGCTGCGCCAATTATGGCCAAACTGAACCCCTGAAAGGAGGGGCGGAAAATCCCGCGCCTCGTAAAGCGCTGCAAGGGGAGAGACAGACCGCATGTTTGGGTGGGTTGGCATGCTTTGCAAAGCGAAAGTGGCCCATCCAGCGCAAGATAACGCGAACTTCATTTTTAAGCTCGGCTGACATGGCCTTGTCCCTGCGAACCAAGACCAGCGGGTGAGGCAGGGCCGGTCCCATTTAAAAAGAATTAGGGGTTGGCCCGCAACGTACGTCGTTGTACTGGCAGCCCGCAGTGTCTCACGAAAACTGCGCATTACATCCGTCTGCAGTGAAGAAACGAGTGGGTTGGGCGTGAGCAGAAGAAGGCTGGCACGAATGGATCGAGGCATCATGGGTGTTTGAAACAGGTATCAGGCATGGTTTAGCATACGTTGATTTGCTTGAACAACTGAACGAGCCGTGGATCTTGATGCGAGACTTGCTCATCTGGCAAGTAGTACAGCAGGTACTGGAGAGTTTTGAACCGGTTGTCCGAGTGCTTGAGTGCCAAAAGCATGGCTACAACGTTCGACAAGCCACGAAAGCGCACTGAGTACAGGTGTGCCTTGTTCACTGACAGTTGCGTTTCAAAGAGCAACAGCACCGGGCGACACAGTCCCAGGGGGCAAAATCTGTGTCGTCAAAGCTCTGAGCCCAGGGACCCTATGCTTTCCCTCACACATGTATGCAGAAGCTAGGAAAAACAAGGAACGATCTCCATCGCATCGATGGTTGAACCTACGCAAAAGTTGCTGGACTGTCTTTAGCATGCGGCTGCCAAAGGCGCGGACAAACTCGAGCAAGGCTAGCAGCGCACTAGCAACCAGATCAAGAACTTGTTGCTCGTTTGCAGACTTGCCACGTTTAGCTACGGAGGCGTCAGGGGCACACCGGTTCGATGAGACGGAACATGAGTGGTCCATGAATGCAAACCAAGGATCGTCAAACAACTTAGGCAGCCAGATCTCTACATTTCGCCATGATACGGGGTCAAACCTTGAAAGACTTCTTCCCATTGCTTGCCCAGGAAATCGAGAAAGCTGTCACTCAAGTGCTTGGATCGCACCACTGGTGCCAGGCGGGCTAGCACGTCGAAGAGCGGTCGCTTGTCGCGCTCCTTCTCACGGCCCTAGAGAAAGGTATATGGGTAAGCACACCAGTCAGTATCTTCGTGCTGCGAGAGCAGCGGCAGAAGAGATGGCATATTGCGGCAGGCAGCACTGTACCAGATACAGTTGAAGATGCTTGAGCACGCTTCCAGTGGCTTGCTCACGCTGTTTGGCCTGCAAAAGGATGGTCAGGTGCAGGATATTGATGATGGATGATGGGTGAGGACAACAGATTGATGACGCCTCTTACGCTTGGCGAGGTGGCGTCTGAAATGTCTTGGTAAGTTGACAGCACGTAAGGCGTCAAAAGCAAGGCCTCTCGGGCCACCGTGGAGGGAGCAGATAGAACTTGCAAGACCAAATCGCATAGCTACCATTCGTTTGCGGGATGGAGAAATGCATGCCACGTGTCATGGTACAAACAGAGTATTGCCAACTTTGTGCGCCAGTATGAGGAAAAAGGGGGTGGTTGGTGGCAAAGACAATGTTACCTGGTAGACTTCATCGTGTTTAACAAAGGCACGAAGGCGACGACGAAGCACGGCCGAGCCGGCTAACAAGCCCACCATCAAGCTACACAATCGCAAGCATCAGAGAGCATCTCAAGACGCCGTCAAGTTGCTGGAACCAAGCCGGGAGCCAGCAATATATCGTCTGGTTTTCCGCAAGATACTCCCACCTTTGTTCGCGTTGCTTTTGTTCCAAATGAAAACGGGTTTCCTGCACCACCAGCTGCAAGCTACATGGCAGGGTTGAGCACAAAAGGCATTAGACGCGAAAATTAGTAAAGCAGTGTGAGTGAACGGGCGCTGGTGGGCATGCTCGAGCTGCAAAAGTTTGACCATCGAGATCATACAATGCTCGGTGTCCTTGTACATCTGATCGAAAGGCATGGGCGCAAAGCGACGTCAAGGTGTCTTTGGCGTGGACACGCAGCTATGGTCGGCCGGGGGTCAGGCGCGCGGTGAGGGTGAGTTTGCTTTTGGCTGGCACAATCGACTCCTCGAGGCGTGTTGTGATGGTAAAACGAATTCACCTTGTTGTCGGCCAGGGCCTGAAAGATGCCCTGGATGATGTAGTACAAGTTGGTATCCTGATTGTTGTGGACAATGGTACTGTTGGAGCGAATGACCACGTTGTCTAGATCCTCCCAGCATGCGCGAGCCAATTCCTGCAGCACTAAGATCCCAAACAGGCGCGACGAGTCGCGCTCTAAATATATTGTTTGGCCCGTGGGCAGCCGGCAGGGACAGCAGTCCAGTGAGCATCGGTTGCGGAAAGGCAGGTGCAATATCGCCACGGGGAAATCCATGGGTCCACACCGTGGCGAATGCCATCAACGATCCGTGCAACTTGACTTTTGAAGAAAGCTGTGTCCAACAGTGATAGATGTACTTGGCAGATCATGGCTGTACGGCAAAGGCAAGGGACATGCGTCAGATGCATCGGTGATGGCCACGAAAACACCGGAGCAGAAACGGGGCCGCACAAACGCGTACCAAGAACCTTGGCTGTCTCCAGAAGTATGGTTGGATCACTGCTGCTGCCGGCTAACTGCGCGATCACGCAACATGGTTTTGGTGAGATGAGTAGAGCATCTACTCAAGAGAAAGGCCATGCCGGGCCATTCCAAAGAACAATATGACTCACTTGCTCCAAGGCCACCAGCATCCATGATGGCGGTGCCCCCGCTGAGTGGAGCGAAGATTGAAGTGAAACACCTAAGGAACGGCACAGTGGGGTGATCAGGTGAGTGGTTGCACAGTAGCCCCGTGCAACATGGTCAAAGGCAGGTCAGCCGCAGTCGTGGGCCGCGACTCGCAAGGGCAAGGGCCAAATCGCACCAATTTTATGGAGAGCAGTCTTGCGTCCGGCTTCACTGGCCAAGAGACCCTTGACCTGGATAGGGGCGGCGCGGTCAGACAAGGCGCAAAATGGGGGAGCTCCTCGGTGCTAGCGTGGGTTCGTGAGCAAAAGTGGGCGGGCTGACCTCGGCTTCTGTCACGGCAGACTCGGAGGTTGGGAGCAACAGCGATTCCCGAGTTTGCTAAGTTTACGATGTGGCACAGGGAGGGCCAGCAAAATCATCAGAGAACCGAGAATCGTCTTCGCCGTACCAGCCGCTGCAGGGATCCAGCCGGCAGTTGATAGCCATGGGCACTCACCTCAAGGGTCAGGTTGGCGGTCGCCATGGTGGTGGCGACAGACTGGTCGCAACCCAGTCCAGCCCACACCCCAGCACCCGCCGAAAATAACACGCAAGCTTGTGCCGCAAAGCCAGAGACTCGCCACTCCAAGCCCTCTTCCTCACTGTGTCAACTGAACGAGCCCAACCCGTCCGCTCAAAACCGTCAGCTGAGCAGCAGCAGCAGCAGCAGCAGCCAGCGCCCCCAAAGACGCAGGACTGGCAAAGTGTGTGTGTGTGTGTGTGTGTGTGTGTGTGTGTGTGTGTGTGTGTGTGTGAATTTCACTCTTTTCGTCGTCTGGGCCTTTTCCCTTTTCCCTTTTCTTGGTTCTCACTGCACATTGAGCACATTTCGTTGTTTGCCCCTGTTCAGCTCTCACTCACTCTCTCTCGCGCGCGCTCTCTCGACTCGTTCAAGTCATCATCGGCAGCAGGGTACCACGGCGAGAGACTAGCAGGCAAGGGACGGCGAGGCTCTGCTTGACAACTTGGCTGGATCATTTGACGCAAGTTGGGTTTCTTTCTTGCTGTGCGCTGGTTTTTTTTTTTTTAAACGAGAGCAACCGACGGACGAGTTGTGTCCACGACGTGCGCGCACCTTGGCTGGGGCCTTCACTTGCGGTGTGGACTGATCCACACGCACGTAACCTCTGAAAGAGTCACGCGCAATCGCTTCAGAAACAAATCCGCCATCATGGAAACAGAGCAGCAGCTTCAGGCCGTCAAGGCCCTCTCGGCTCGACTGTCCCAGGACGCGCACAGTGCAGAGGCTATGGTGAAACAGGCCCTCGAGCTCAAACACCTGCTAGAGAAGAATCTTGAGGTCGGTCTTTGCTACAAGTTTTGCATTTGGCCCACCAAAGGGGAGAGCACAAAAGCATTCGGCCTCTCTTGGACTTGTTCCAATCCTTGATGAATACCCTTTGTTCGTCAAGTTTTTTAAAAATCCGAGTTCATCGCCTCGCCGGCAACGCAAACATCCTTGACGATCACCAGTGGTCGAGTCTTTCGGAGTTTGCTGTGCTTTCTATGAGTATGGGCATTGCAAGCCATCATCGAGCTCACATGTGCCTGCGTATTATCTGATGGGAATATTCTAGATTTCCGAGCTCTCTCAGTCATCAACAGCTCAGGATCGCATCGATCAAGTCTGTCGAACCCGCGTCTTCTCGTTTGGGTAGAAGGAGGGCAGTGGTACAAGTGCAACAAATACTCATGCATATGTGGCATTGCATTGCACGCTTCTGTAGCTGATGGGCACGTCTCAAGCTGCATCTGAGGAACAGGAAGGCTGGCTCACCGACATGGCCAAGGAGAATTACGAACTGCATGCCATGGTGGATGAGCTCCTCTCGGCATTACACGTCCTGATGCAAAAGCACCGCCAACAAGTACGTTCTCGGCAGCGCCAAGGTGGCCGGCATGATTACATCAACAGGGAGTGCTCTTGTTGTGTAAAAAAAAAGAAAAAAAAGGAAAAAGGGTAAAAAAAAAAGAAAAAGAAATAGACAAAAACCCTCGCCCCCCTGTCGGTCGGTGGTCGGTCTTCTGATGGTGGCGAGCCGTGTTTTGCACCAGGTATCTGCGCTCCGCACGCGGAATCAAGAGACAGTTGAAGACGCACAACGCCAGATTGAGGCGGAGCGACAGCGGTCACGGCGTCTTGAGCTTGAGGTGGTTCAGCTCACAAGCAAAATCGAGGAGATGGAAAAGGTACGGCACCATGAGCGAACCTAGATGTGATTGCTCTGCTATGAAATAAATATGACCACCCACAGCTTTCGACACGATGGGCTCGATTGCTCCTTTCTCATTGCATGTACTGTGGCAGGTCATGTGTGCAGCAGTGGCCGTGGATGAGCGCGACGACCTTGATCTCATTGCCGATGTTGTTGCGGTCGCGCAAGAAAATCAGCAGCTACGCGACCTCCTGCGCGTCTCCAATGTGGCTTTGGGCGACGCGGACTGACGTTCAGAGCCCCGCGTTTGTTCTTTTGCGAAAAATGCCATCTGGCTTTGAATGAGTCTTCTAGAAACCCTTTTGAGCTTTAGTGACCCTGCTGGTCGTTGCACTCAAGCAGGGTGCACTACTAGCAACTTGTTGCTGGTCACACAATCAACTGACTCTTTGTGACATCAGCCGTCACCTTTGAACATCGGCGCAGCCGGCAAGGTGGTGCGAACAACGCAAGAAGGCAGGCACAAATAGGAGAAAGAACAAAAACGCAGCGTGGGGCGGAGGTGCCACGTGTTCTGACACGAGCAATAGAAGTCTTGCGATGATGGTTGTACAAGTGCAGCAAATGATCATGTGGTGGCTAAGAGTGGGTGGGCGGTCGCATCAGCCACCAAAGCATCTGCCGCGGGAGTCGGGTGAGCAAGCGAGTGGTGAGCTGAACAGCCGGTCAGCCAGTCAGGCAGAGACATGGTAAAACACTGGTGTTCGACCGGGACATACCTAGAGGGGTGGCGACCGGACAGGTAATGACGCGAGGCTCGCCCGTGGGAGGCTCAAGCGTCGCAAACTGCGAGTCGAGAAGCTTGACGGGCATGAAATGCCCCACCCGTTGCTTGACGCGTGAACCAATCAACTCCGGTGAGCCCTATTAACAACCAGTAGGTATGCTTGTGAGTTTGCCTGTGTGAGAGAACCTGTTCGATCAGGATCAACCTTTGCATTGGCAGCACTTTGGTGGCCCAGAGTACAGATGTAGGCGAGAGCCACAAGGAAAGCCAGTGTCGTACTTCGAGGTAGACAAACACCAAGTTCTCTGCCAACCCAGTGCGCAACATTTCCCGGTACGCGCGTCGAAGCGCCGAGCAGGCCACCACCAGACCTGTGCCATCCACATGGGCCCTGCATGGTCGTATGCATGTATCAAGTCGGAAGGCGGAGCATTTTTGAAGTGACGCGGGTGTCATGGTCCAAGCCAAGCCAGTCAAACAAACAGCCACTCACGCGGTCAAACGTTGGTTGATTGCCTGAAGCCAGGGTATCCGGTCCTCATCTGTGAGAGGTTGCCCTGCTTGCATTTTGGCCACGTTGGCAGCAGGATGGAGGTGATCGCCGTCGACAAAGGTCACATGCAACGCCTCGGCCAGCCGGATCCCAACTGTGCTCTTGCCCGAGCCGCTGACACCCATGACCACAACCACGGGCTTGCAACCAAGCCCGGGTGCATTTGATGTATGGGCGGCCATGGCACAGCCGCCACTATCCTACTCTTGACAGCACACTGTACACTTCTCCTCCTCCTCCTCTCCTCCCGCAACTCTATTGAACACCAGCTCAAAGAGAGAGAGAAAGCCAGTCAACTCCAGCAGCGAGTGAGCGCCGCCCTCTGAACCTCCACCACCACGTGAAGCCACAGGAAAAGAAGTGTGTGTGTGTGTGTGTGTGTGTCTCTCTCTCTCTCTCTCTCTCTCTCTCTCTCTCTCTCTCTCTCTCTCTCTCTCTCTCTCTCTCTCTCTGTCTGTCTCTCTCTCTCTCTCTCTGTCTGTCTCTCTATCTCTCTCTCTGTCATTGTCAGCATGTCATGCATCTTCTGATCCGCCCCTTCACTCACTCGATCGAGAGCTGCGTCGGACCCAGGCTGCTTCGACTCGGTCCGCGGCGTGAATGAGGGGTTTCTCGCCGTGCAAGCCTCTTGATACGATTTGTCAAATACACAGTTCCTTCTGATCAACACATTCCGGGCTCGTTCTTGGTCGCCATTGGTGACGAGCCTCCTTGGGCCTTTCGGAGTTGCGCGTCAAAGCGTGGGCCCCGAGAACTTTTCGCGATGGGGTTCTATCCCGATGAGCTGCCGGAGATCGAGCGGATCTCCTTGCTTCCGGACCGGTTGGTCTTTTGGTGCACGTTGTGATACTGTCGACTTGGTTTCTCTGAGGTGTGGTGCTGTGGTGTAGGGCCTTCTTCGTAGCCAGCATGATCATTGCCGGTGGTCTGCTCATCAAGGAGTACACTTCCATGGCCGTCGAGGTCCTTCAGGGCTACCCCAAAAGCGTGTGCTTGCTCTACATCCTTGGGGCTTATGTATTTGCTTACCTGGTCTGCCTTGCTCCTTGGCATGCCATCTTAACCGCCTCGCTACGTAGCCCTGAATAAGGCGCTGTGTGAGCCTCATGTTGCTGCTTCCCCCTTTCCCCCTTTTTTTTTCTTTGTCTTGTCACGCCCAACTGGTAGTGCATTTCGGCAGCCTGGCAGGTTGAAAGCCAGGCCAGCGAGAATGCTGCCATTCAGCTCGTGCGCTCTGCTCTCTTTTTAGGCGCCGTCTTCATGCTTTTCGGCCCGCACCTTATTCTGGTGCCCCGCGTCAAGATTTTTGTGAAAAAAACGCAAAAAGGTGCGACAGCGAGCACATGGATGGTTGTTTATCCACGCTGCCATCTTTCACCCGGCTTCCACTCAATCTTTTATACCAATGCATGGGCACTGTTCCTTTTGGTAGTCTTGCACAAACTCGTGACTGTCGCCAACACCAAAGAGACCCGCCACATAGCTTTTGGCATATTTGCGCTCGTCGTGGCCGCCCAGCTCACCGTTCTCTACGCGCTCTCCCTCGTGCTCTTGCAAGTGACCGCAAACGTGCACGAGCTTGTGTGGTGTCGGATCCTGTTTCATCCTTCTTGGGCCTGCCATTGCCAGCACACCTTTTCCTCATGGGCATGGTCCCGTGTGCTAGGGAAGTGTTTATGATGGAAGTGGTGGACGTCATCGGCATCTTGGCCTGCTATGTTCTTATTGCCCTCTTCTACCTGCTGGCATTTGCCGTGACCATGTTGCGTATTGAAGGCAAACTCTTTGGCCACGAGCCGTTGAAACTCATCCGGTCAGTCTCTTTGTCTTGGCTTGGACGCAGTGTACCCTAGTAAAAAGTCGCGCTCCTAACACCTGCCTGGCTTGCTATAGCGACGAGATCCCTTGGCTTGACAAGGCATGGTTTCTGTACACCTACGTGACACTCTTCTCGGTCAAGCTCCTGTTTATGTTGGGCATGGCCATCTTCTTCCTTGTGCGCGACATCGACCTATACCGTCAAGCTCGGGCTCGCAACACCGAGGATCAGGGAAGCCGAGCGCTTTCCGCGGTCTTCTTCGTACTCACCATTTGTGGCATGGCAGCGTATGCCGTATTTCTTCTGATTGAAGCTTTTCGACCGGAAAAGATCAGTGTCGAGGATAAAAGCGATGAAAATGACGCTGATAACGACCACCTAGCGCAAATGGGAGCTCGACCAGCATCTACCCGATCTGCCTCATCTTCTTCGTCTGCCTCATCTTCTTCGTCTGCCTCTTCAAAGGCCTCGGTGGCCGTTTCTACGCGCACGGCTCTTGAACAAACTACAGATTTCTCTCTCGACCTGAATATTCAAGAGACTATGGTCGATGATGGTGCGTTTACGTCATTCCGAGCTTAATATCTATGCTGTGGAGGCAGCATCTCCCGCCACCGTTATAGGTTGGCTAGGAATTTTGCTAAACATGTGCTTGCCCGCTGTGTGCAGAACCAGCCTTGAACTTTAGAGGCGCCGGACCAGCCTTGAACTCGAAGGACACCGAACCAGCCCTGAGTTTCAAGAACGACGAGCCAGCCTTAAACTTGAAGAACGCCGCCCCAGCTCTGCACAAAAAGAAGAATAAACGCTCAAAGAGCCAGCCCGACGCTCAAGCAATGCCTCGTCCCTCGCCGAAAGCAGCATCATCACCGCTCTTGGCCCAGGGTGCAACCAGATTCGAGGCGGAGGAAGTGGCAATGCGACGGCAAGACTCACCACCGCTTGCTCGAATGCGCGGGCGAGAGGCCGTCTTTGATGCCGATCCAATCCTCGCCCCTCATTTAGAAAATGCCCACGACATGATGGCGCCTATGTCGGCCCTGCCGGACGAAGCTGAATCCGCACCGTCATCCTTGCTGTTTTCTCCAGCAGCGCCACCGCCGCCGCCTCCTGCTGCCCCCGCTTGGGGTGTGAGTCAATCGGCACCCATGGGACGTATGGCCGCGTTGAATGATTCCGAAGACTATTCTGACGAAGATGATAATGATTCGTTTTCCAACTCCAAGACCAATGCCTCTCAGCTTCCTGATCAAGCTGACGAGTCGAGTAACGATGACGTACGCGAGAACAAATGCCGCCTCGTATTCCAAAAACTCGAGGCATCAGGAGCGACGGCACTCCTGCCGGATCAGGCCACAATAGTGTTGTACCTCACCACTCACCTGCCTGCAGCTCATCTGGTGCGTTTCAGTCGGGGTCGAAATGCTGTGACTCTTGAGATTATTGTGTGGATGGACCGGGGGGCGACGCTCCCATCTGCCACCCTCCCAGCCCTTGAAGGCTGGTCACATGTGCGTTGCGAGTGGGTATAGTGGTCACGCACTTGCGCCGTTATAAACGCGAGCAAACCAATTTACTTCCCCACGTTTTTACGACCGACTGCACGTTGGTCTCGGAGGAGTTTGGACGAGAGATGGGGGCAGTGCTCGGCGCCCTTGTACACCATAATTGAGTTGCATGATCTCGATTCAGTGTCTCGCTCGTGTCGCAGCAGCACGGTTCCAACTGGACTTTTTCTCCCCCTAATAATCACAATCACCTGTGGTAAACTCACACGCACACAAATCCCAACCCCTCCCTCGACATCTTTTGGAAGGAACACAATTCAATGATGATTCATTTGTGTCGAGGACAAAGCAGGCGTGGAGGGATATGCGAACGAGGGCAGCGGGGCATGAGAACGTTGCCGTGAGGCATCGTGCATGCGCGAGACTCCATTGAGCTGGTCTGCTGAAGGTTGAGGACAGGAGTGCTTGATTCTCCTTTCGCACACCGCCTGCCATGGGGGCATTGAGTGGATTGATCGCTGCCATTGCGGTCACCTTTGGCATTATTCTTCTAGGCTACATTCTGCGTCACGCCAAGGTGCGTCACTGCTCACTCTTAGCTTGTTATAGCGATCCTTGCTCTGGACTAAGAGCCAGGGGATCTTGAATGGCGGCCTGTACCACTAGTATTCATGCCATCTGCGCCCTCACGGCATGCAATATATCTGACTCACGTCTTCTTCTTCTTCTTCTTCTTCTTCTTCTTCTTCTTCTTTTTTTTTTTTTTGTGGACAGGTTTTAACACCGGATCATGCCGTGGGCATTGGAACGTTGGCGGGGCGCATTGCCCTACCCGCCCTGCTGTTTCTGTCAATGGCCACGCTGGACTTTGGAAATGTCAAGTGGCCCTTTCTCGCCGCCATTGCTCTGGGCAAGATCATTGTGGCCTTTTTCGTCTATGTTATGTCCCGGATCTTTGACAAGTCAACACGCGCCAGCAGTGCAGCCGCCAGCTTGCGCGCCATCTTCGCCACCCAGAGCAATGACTTTGCCCTCGGGTTGCCCGTGCTACAAGCCCTCTTTCCGCAAGAAATCGTGCAATATCTCTATCTCGTGGCTCCCATCTCCCTCATCATGATCAACCCGCTGTGCTTTGTGGGCATCGAGCTGGGTTTGGCCAAGGCTGGCTTGCGCCAGGAGTCGGGCGCCTCCAGCTGGGTGGCGTTCTTCAAGACACTCCGTAATCCTGTCGTGTTTTGCACGCTCTTGGGCATCATTTTCAATTTTATCGTCGGTGGCAACCCGCCCGATGCCATGCGCTCCTTCTTGCAAACGCTGGGCAACGCCTTCTCCGCAGGCGCCCTTCTCAATCTCGGTACGGCATGCCTGCTCTTCCAGTTTCTCGAGATCCCAACGCCTCCGTCCACCCTTGACACTTGAGTGGAGTGGAGTGACATGCACAACACGTGTGGGGCTTTTGGTCCTTTAGGTGCGGGCATGGCGGGCAAAATCAAGACGATCAAGGGCAAGGCTTTGGTGGGACCGCTCCTCCTCGTGGGCGCCAAGACTTTGCTCCTGCCCATCCTGAACGCAGTCCTCATTTCGGCCTTTGAAGTGTCCGACGAGGTGGTGGACGGTACTGCCTATAGCCTACAGCTCTTTGGCTTTCTTTTGGGCACCTTTCCCACAGCCCCCAGCGTGTTTTTGTATGCCAGCGAGTTCGGCGTGCTTATCAACGAAGCCACCACGGGGGTGATCCTCTGCACGGCCATCTCGGGCCCCCTTACCCTGGTTACGGCCCAGCTGGCCGAGTTGACGATTTCAGGCACAGCTGATTATTTGTCCTTGCTGCAAAACACCTCGGAAAGCATGGCCATCGTCTCCATGGTGGGTGCCATGTGGCTGCTCATCATCTACCTCTATTTGGGCCAGGTCGGGCCCCTCAACCGCCTCAACGTCGTACTCCTGGCCTGCTTGGCGCTGGTGTACTGCATCACCGTCCAAACATGCCGCGTAAACGTGCCGGCTGCCAACTCGATTGTGCGCTACATTGTGATTCAAGCGGCCATGATAGCCATTCGCCTTACTGTAATGATGAATGGTATCAGCCTTGCCGTCTTGCGCCGCCGCGGCAAGGATGCCTGCGCACGGTATGTTGGGTCACCCGATTCCTCACGGATCAGTGCCACTGGGCCAGCTGGCTCGCCGCACTCATTGCTATGCGTGGCCACACTTGCCAGGTCTCGTCTGTGGCTCACAGCTTTGGTTTGCATGCCTCCCCTCGTCCAGCATTCAGCGCCCGCTCCAGATCATCTCAGCGGTGGCGACGGCCCTTTTGACAGCTCTGGCTTATGCCCGGTTGCGGGATCCTACCATGCGGCTTCAAGAAGATACATGCTGGATTGTGTTGGACGGCAACACCTGGGCCGCTATTCTGGAGCTGTTGGTTTCTTGCATTGAGCTTTGTGCACTCCTGATAGCCTTTGCCTGGATGCAAAAGCCGCAAGAAGGGTTTTCTGAAGACCTGAACTACGTGTTGGGTGCCAAACCGTTCAGCAGTGAGCCACCCGTGGTCCTACAGAATGAGGGCTACGTCGGGGTCAGCAGCGACGGCGACGGCGACGGCGACGGCAACAGCAATCATCTGTCCCTCTCACCAACCGCGGGTGAGTATGTGGACACGGCGACCCTTGACACGCATTCACAGGAGAACAAAGAGGCGGGCCCACGTGGTAGTGGCACTCTCAGTGAGGACCTCGTGCTGGACTTTGACGATGACGAGGAGACAGATCACGACCGAGACGACCTGCAGCTGGATGCTCGTTATTTGGCACAGTCCCGGCACCTGATTTCATATCGCGATCAACTCTTCATGTTGGTGGAGTCACTCTGCGTGGCGCTGCATGTCGGAGTGCAGCTTTGGATGCTCAGCTCTGACTCGCGCGGCGGCACTTTTGCCCAAGTATGGTCCCTCTCCCGCGTGCAGGTCATGGTGCTGACGAGCACGGGGCTTTTTTCTCTACTGTTGCCACAATCGTCGACTCACGGGGCATGCGCGTGCTTTCCTTTGGGGCATGTTGTAGCTGGTTTTTACAGACATTTTTTTTGCGTCTTCCCAAGGCTTGCTCTTCTTTATCCTGTTTGGCACGAAGCGGCGGGTCATGTTGCCACTCCTTCGAGCCATACAAAAATGGCGTGATGTGCTACGGCGAAAGTTGAACAGCGATGCCAAGGAGGTGTCCATCATGGTTCTTCCTCGTTCGGACTTGGATCCAGCTATTTTGGCGGCACTGGAGCGCTTTGAAACAGTCCAACATGACTTTGAGCGGTCACACGTGCGCAACCGCCGGCACAAGCTGCGCACCTATCCCAAGGTGTGTCTCGCGGCTACACCAGCAATTTGATTGCAGCCTCGCCTCGCCCCACAGCATGAGTCTTGAATGGTGCGACAACACAACTCAATCAAGACTTTGCTTCGATGGCTCTCCGGCATGCAGGTGTTTTTGGGTTCTGACTTTATCACCTTTATCGTACGCAAGGGTCTCGCGGGCGAACGGGAAGAGGCCTTGGCACTGGGTCGGCAGCTCATGGTGGCAGGCTTGTTCCGCCACGTTCATAGCGATCATTGGCTCGAAGACGACCGCCTCTACTACCGCTTCTGCGAGGAGGCACCACGCCCCTAAGAAGACTTGAATAATTTCACGTTGCTTTGAACCGCACGAGTCGTGTCCGTCGATGAATGCGAGTCTTCCCATGGCGAGAGACTCACATGATGGTCACATCACATCAGGAAAACTGCGTCGAACGGCAGCGAAAAAGACGAGAGCGACACAGACACAGACACAGACACAGACACAGACACAGACAGATAGACACAGACACAGAGACACAGACACAGACACACAGACACAGACACAGACACAGACACAGACACAGACACAGACACAGACACAGACACAGACACAGACACAGACACAGACACAGACACAGACACAGACACAGACACAGACACAGACAGACACACAGACACACACACACACACACACACACACACACACACACACACACACACACACACACACACACACACACCACACCTTGTTCTTGCAAGAGCAGTCAGTAACAGTGACACAACTGGGTTCGGTCGTTATGGCATTGCGCATGTTCCAAAGTTCACCATTTGTGTGTTAAGCGAACCAACAGTGATCTCTTGTCGTGCTCAGGCTGGGCGATCATTGAGAGGTGCGCAGCCCATGCCCCGTGCGCCTTCTCTTGCTCTTTGGGGGGGGGGGGGGGGGGGAATTTGCCGGATGGTGGTGGGGGTTTCAAAAAACACCCGTCCAAGTGGACGGGGAAATTGGCACCCTGGAAACCTTGATGCTGTATAAT